CTATATGTTTATATTAATTAAAAATAAAAGCTTAATAATTACTATTAAACTAAGCAGGTTATCCTGGTTTGTTATTGTTAACTAAAACATAACTGTTAAAAATAGTTTTTGTTAACTGAAATAAATCTGAAATTAAAATATAAACAGTAGATTAAAAACTTGCCCAAAAATTAGAAATTTTGCCTTGGCACCTAACTGATAAGTTTTGTTGAAGTACTAAAATGACTAAAACTAAAACTCAAATAAAAATAAAGTTAAATATAAAAACTAATAAAAATGACAAATGCACAAAGCAAAATGACTAAAACTTAAACTAAAATTAAAATGTAAACAGAAAAGCTAATCATAAATACTATAACAAATAAATAAAACTAAAATAACTGCCAGTAACACTCATTCATTAGATATCATAATCTAACAATGTTAGACTTTATGTTAGATAAAGTTTTTACTGCATTTATTAATCTAATTTAATGATAATTTATAAATTAACAATTTATTATTAATTAATGGTCATTCATAATACAACTTAATATAATAAAAAAATTGAAATATATTGTATATGTTCAGTATAGATTTACATTGACCAAGACTGATAAATGCTGTACATTTTTTTTATACACTGACATGACATTTCATTTCATAACATTGACATTCTAGAGTTTAATAGGGAAGATGAGTGAGAGGAAAAGCATCACACGGGTTAAACCAGTGGTAAGGCAGTTTACACATGCGCACACATTAAATTTCCTTCTGAAATTTTTCTTAGCATAGTATGGTAACATACTATGTGTGCACACAGTAAAATACACAGTATTCAATGTGTCATATATTGTTTGACAAAGAGTCAACGGGTCAAATAAAACCACTGAATGACTCAAAGAGTCATCCAATGCAAAGAAAAATCGACAGATAAAGAGAATCGTGAACTGCATCCATAATCCACTTACATCAAGCACACTGGGTACCAGTCCGACGCAAGTGTAAATCTGAAGACCAGTTAGTAGCAATTATCACAAACTATAGCACCATTGAGCTGCTTCAGATCAACAATTATTTAGTTGAAAATAACACAAATATTTCTTTTAAATAGCTGTAATCTTGCAAAAGGAATCAATCTTAGTTAGATTAGACAACATTTTTGGTTGATTCAGAAGTTGATGCCAAATAAAACGAAGCTGTAGTCAGTGCAGTCAGTTCAGTACACTTCAGTTGCAGAAATGCTACAAATATATAATATGAAAAAAAGCTACAAAATGTCCTGACAATATAGGTTATTAAAATTACACATGACCTACAGCTTTAAACAATACACACACACAAAATATTTCTATCCCTCACAGCTTTGCTTTCAATTGCATCAAATGAAACGTCATCTACCCAAACTAATAGTCACTGTATATAATATAATTTCTTTTAAATAGCTGTCTATTACTGAAATAGACACATTTATACATGTTTGACATGTGAGCTAACTGTATCTTTTCATCTCTATGAAAATGCAGATAGTGAGAGTTGTGCTGTCGTACCTGTATTCTCTCAGTGGTGGTGGGCCATAGAGCTCTACACAACACTTTCTTCACCACATACACAAATCCAAAGCCCCAGCAAGAAGCAATGCAAAAAAGAACAAAATATTACATAAAAAAATCACATATCCAATATTAACAACATGCACCAGCTCAGTCCCAGAAGATGTTAAACTGATCGATTGAGATGCTGTTACAGGATAAACTGCAGAGAGAAATTTAGCTAAGGCTAGTGAGAAATTAAAGAGTTTTTTTCTTCATTGGAGGGTGAAAGGGCATTCACCCCCCCCCCCAAAAAAAAGTTATATTTTTATAAAATCCTGGTTTGTTATTGTTAACTAAAACATAACTGTTAAAAATAGTTTTTGTTAACTGAAATAAAGCTGAAATTAAAATATAAACCGTAGATTAAAAACTTGCCCAAAAATTTGAAATTTTGCCTTGGCACCTAACTGATAAGTTTTGTTGAAGTACTAAAATGACTAAAACTAAAACTCAAATAAAAATAAAGTTAAATATAAAAACTAATAAAAATGACAAATGCACAAAACAAAATGACTAAAACTTAAACTAAAATTAAAATGTAAACAGAAAAGCTAATCATAAATACTATAACAAATAAATAAAACTAAAATAACTGTCAGTAACACTCATTCATTAGGTATCATAATCTAACAATGAGGAGTTTTTACTGCATTTATTAATCTAATTTAATGATAATTTATAAATTAACAATTTATTATTAATTAATGGTCATTCATAATACAACTTAATATAATAAAAAAAATGAAATATATTGTATATGTTCAGTATAGATTTACATTGACCAAGACTGATAAATGCTGTACATTTTTTTATACACTGACATGACATTTCATTTCATAACATTGGCATTCTAGAGTTTAATAGGGAAGATGAGTGAGAGGAAAAGCATCACATGGGTTAAACCAGTGGTAAGGCAGTTTACACATGCGCACACATTAAATTTCCTTCTGAAATTTTTCTAAGCATAGTATGGTAACATACTATGTGTGCACACAGTAAAATACACAGTATTCAATGTGTCATATATTGTTTGACAAAGAGTCAACGGGTCAAATAAAACCACTGAATGACTCAAAGAGTCATCCAATGCAAAGAAAAATCGACAGATAAAGAGAATCGTGAACTGCATCCATAATCCACTTACATCAAGCACACTGGGTACCAGTCCGACGCAAGTGTAAATCTGAAGACCAGTTAGTAGCAATTATCACAAACTATAGCACCATTAAGCTGCTTCAGATCAACAATTATTTAGTTGAAAATAACACAAATATTTCTTTTAAATAGCTGTAATCTTGCAAAAGGAATCAATCTTAGTTAGATTAGACAACATTTTTGGTTGATTCAGAAGTTGATGCCAAATAAAACGAAGCTGTAGTCAGTGCAGTCAGTTCAATACACTTCAGCTGCAGAAATGCTACAAATATATAATATGAAAAAAAGCTACAAAATGTCCTGACAATATAGGTTATTAAAATTACACATGACCTACAGCTTTAAACAATACACACACACACACAAAATATTTCAATTCCTCACAGCTTTGCTTTCAATTGCATCAAATGAAACATGTCATCTACCCAAACTAATAGTCACTGTATATAATATAATTTATTTTAAATAGCTGTCTATTACTGAAATATAGACACATTTATACATGTTTGACATGTGAGCTAACTGTATCTTAACAAAAACACAAACAAAAGATGCAACATAATTCAGTAAAAGCGTTCACCTGAATCATGTATACAATATACAAAAACAAATAACAATTTAGAATTCCCAGATTTCATTTTTTTAGGTGGAAATTTATATCATATATTATTTGTACATATAATATATTATCAGCAGAAAAATTATAGACCCTATTTAATGTAAGAAATTTCCTTATAAATTATTAATACAATTAATTATGATTGTTATATACAGTATATTCAAATTATAATTACACTTATGAGATTTTATATATATATATATATATATATATATATATATATACACAAACAATGTTTTATGCTTTTATGTTTTAATTTGATAAAAAAAACATGAACATACGGTGTATCTGTATTTGTATCAGATGCACTTATCTAAACTTGTGCACCAATGCAGCATTCACAAAAGCATATAAATATAATCAAAGGACAGGGCACTCATCAAATGTTCTTTTAAAAATCTATTTCTTGTGAATAATTGTCATTATTTTAATGGTGCTGTAAATGAAAGCACTTTTATGTCTTTTGTTTTACAGAGATTATTAATGATGTCTGGCTCTCGGTGATGTCACATTCATTTTATATTTTGTCCATAAAAGCCTCATCAATAAATAGTGAGCTTAGATAGTCCCTTAAAATGTTATAATGGATTCAGTTTTGCAGATTGGCCCAATAAACCTTGGGTGCAGTAAGCTTCTCTGTGTGATTGTGTTTGTATATTTGGGAGGATTTGTTCCCTCATTGTTTACAGTCTTGGCAAATGGCTGAATTTAGACACAATGGATTCTCTTCTAGAACCTTCCTCTGTCTGTGGACCGGCCACACTGTTGATGGCACTATGCAAAACAACATCAACGATATAAAGAGAGCTCTTTATAAAATCACTGCATGTTTACCTTTAAAAAACAAATCGCAATCAAAGTCACCAAGCCACAGCAAAACACGAGCAGGTCAAACTGTATGGCACTAAATGGTTTTAGTGAACATAATAATGTTGATGAGTTGCCAGTTTAAAAAAACAAGCACACACAATAAATGTCAACAAGTTTGAGGAAAATGCATTAACTTACCTTAATGAGCACTCTAAATTAAATGTACTGTTAAAAAACATGTCAAGGGCAAATGATTTTTAGCAAATGATTTTTTCAAAATGATCAATCTGATATTTCAGTTGAAAAAATGTCATGGTCAAGTGCAGTTTTGCAATTTTATGTTTAATCAGATAATAATTAATCTGTTAATGTTCGAGTTTCTGCCACGTTCCACAAACAGGGAAAAACAGTGCCTAAAGTTTTTATTTCTGTCCTCTTATTCAACAAATGGTCAGTGAAAGAGGTGCTTAAACACGTTAATCTCCAATAACAGGGTCTCAAACAAAATACTATATTAATATATGGCTATTTTATTTTCTGTTCATTTTATACAAGGTTAGCAATGTAACCAAAAGTGGCGTTTAAAACGGATTTGTGTGATTTAGCTTTTCTAGAAATAAATAAATATTAAATCTAAATAGACAAAATGTATAATAATAAAATAACAATAGCAACAATAATTTTATTAGATAATTTAAAAATATTACTTTCTTTTTTCTAAATTGCAAAAAATACATTATTCAATTATTAAATTAAATATATTATTTGTATATATAATATATTACATAGTGTCTAGAAGAAAGAGACCCTATGCAATGCTATAAATGTAACTATGTTAATGAGTCACTAAAGTATACCTTATTTGTGGAAAAGGCCTCCAGCTTCTCTTTTAAATTAAAAGTTTCGGAATAGATTCTCTTCAATTCAACATGTACTGTACCAAACAAAGTGAAATGTTTTATCCACGTGTCCTCTTGTTCATTCATTTGCCCTTGCAGTGAGTCATGAGAGGATGGATGTGTATCCTACGGGCCGATGAGGATGAGGATGACAACACCCCTCCAACTCGGGGGATTGCAAAAAACACAGTCGCAACATGACACACGGGACGGACACAAACTCCTACTCGATCACAAGATGATAGACAGAGGAAGATGAACGGGGGACTTGCTATTCTATACCTACAGTGGCTGGTCCTCAGTACAGGGGACACTGGGATGTCGTACGCTACTGTTTGAGAGCCACGATGGCAGTGAACGGTTAGTGTTAGTAGACACTATGTGAGTGGGAGTGGCTTTAGGGTGAGGGGAGGGGCTGAGGAGGGTAACAGTAAAACTAAAACTAAAAATAGGATGAGAAACAGATAGGGACAGGCTTACCATCTGTGTGTTGGTGGCCATTAGCTGAGGAAAGGAAGAGAAGCAGAAAAGAAAAGAAAGGCAAAAAGGGAGTAGGTAAAAGGAGGAAAAGAGAGAGGGAGAGATAGAGAAAGAGAGGAAAACGAAAGAAAAGAAGGAGAGGGAGGGGACAGGGAGCAAGAAAGTAAAGAAAAAATTAGGATGTTATAACTTAAAGTAAATCAAACAGGTAAAAAAGCAATCCAAAAAGGTTACTATGATTTAACTTAATGGCACAGAGAAAGATGTCTGGTCTGACTGATTACCCAGCATGCTTTGTGTCGCATAAATGAATGGAGAAGCACCTGTAATGACTTCAAACATACGCAAAGGAGGACAGACAAAAGTCTGTAAGCTGGATCAAGACCATAGTTAAACCACAAATATCTACATTACAAGCACTGAAACCACTTTAACCACAAAATAACTCACTCAACCAGCATCGGCCACCCATTCAATCTGTATGCATCTGCTTTATTTGACTGAGAAAAAAAATGAACTCAAGAAACAAAACACACACAGAAAAATGTGAAAACGAAATCATGGTTTAGACAGTGACTGCATTACCTGTCCGTTGCTGGTGAAGGTTGTGTTGTCAAAAAGGAAGAAAGCACCAAAGAAGAAGACCATGGCATCAAAAACCCCCAGAAATGTCCAGTAGATGAAAGTGGGCCATCTCAGGAGGGAATTCTTGGCAATATCTCTGTAAAAATAAAGATATTAAAAATGAAAATATAAAAAACGGTTGATATTACCGCATATTGTTTGCATAACCACACTGTACTGTAAACTTTACACTTTACATTCCTTTAAAAATGTACATCAACTTAACTGTAATCACAGCTAAGTGCATGTAATACATCATAAGCAACGAATTTCAAAATCATGTTTAAGGTTATTAATAACTAAAATAACTAAAACTATTGAAAATACTTTTGTTAATTAAAAATAAAGCTGAAATAAAATAAATTATAAATATTAGATACAAAATTTTATTAGAAATGTTGCCTTGGAAAATAACTCAAGTTTAAGTTGAAACATTAAAATTACAAAATGAAAATGAATAAAAACTAAAACTTAACTGAAATAAAAAATTAATTAAACCTAGAGTAAAAATGAATAAATGTAAAATTTCCATTGGTTATCCATTTAATCTCATTGTGTCAAACAGAAATAAATGAGATTTTCACCATTTTAAGTTTTTGCTTTTTTTTTACATTTTCATTTGAGAAAACTACCCTAATAATCTCACACGCCACATTTAGAGTACCACAAGAGATCTTAAGAATGTCTCCAGAACTCCAACTCATAGATCAAATGATCTGAGCTTTGCTATCTGTTCATTTTGTAGTCTTTTCTAGTCTTGTTTGTATAAATTTATACCAAATGAAGTGCAACTGATACTAAATTGAAAAGCAATGGAGCAGTCAAACATTTCAATGTAAGATCATATGGTTATTTATGAAAACAACAGTTGAAACTCTATGAAACAACAGTTTAGTCTCAAACTACACTTGAGATTGGATGGATCATTTCAAATGAAAGTGAAATTAGGGTCAGAAAAAAATAAGCATCATTTCTGCTGCTTGTGTCCATTCTTACTTTAAAAACATAGAAAAGTCCTTGATAGCTACAAGTGCCACACTGTGTGTCAGTAATGAACACTGTATATATTTAACAAGCAATGCAGAGGAATAAGAGGGGGGAAAAATGCAGTGTCAGGACATTTGGTGAAAAAATGTAGAGCAGTTCTAACAGTATTTCTGCCCAGTGTAGTGTGTAAATTGAGTTTAGTACAAGGGTCTGTGCGGATACGTTTGCCAAAGGCTGATGGAACGGTCCAATTATAGCAGACTCATATTTGGAAGCAGCGTGTTCTTGTGATTAAGTGAAAAAACCTGGAGGCTCACAATCAGAAAAGGCATTTTAATAAAGGGGAAAATTTAGAGAGTGAGATTGGGCTACATCAGGCGGTTCATTAGATACAAAAATGATGCAAGGAAAATAAAAGATTTCAAAAATACAGATTATTAAAATTTTAATTGAATCAGCATACAGTATTAAGTCCCTGAATGGGCCAGTGCTGTCACTATGACTTGCAACATATATGTGCTTTAATTCCTTGCAAACAATTTATTTTTGTGCATGAAATATTGCTGCTGCAAAGTTTGCTAATATATATATATATAATTAGCAAACTTTGCAACAGCAATATATATATATATATATATATATATATATATATATATATATATATATATATATATATATATATATAT